CATGTTCTCACTGTTCTCCCTCAGAACCAGAATTACGTATCTTTAGTGCACATTCTACCACAGGTTTATTGACACTTGGGAGAAAATGGCCAAAGCCACGTTCTCCCCAGAAGTGACTGGGGCTACCTTCTAGGCCAAAAAGAAACCCCATACTCCTCCCTATCCTTTTGGGTGCCATTACAGCGGGATCTATCAGACTGAGCGTGACCAGTCTTGTACAGGGAGAACAAAATTACCAGCGTTTGACAAACTTAATAAATCAGGACCTGACCAGCCTGGGAGATTCTATAAAAAAATTAAAAGATTCTTTGAGCTCACTAGCTAAAATGGTTTTGCAGAACAGAAGAGGACTAGATCTCCTTTTCCTTAAGGAAGGGGGCCTTTGTCTAGCTCTAGGTGAAACTTGCTGCCTGTATGCGAATCATTCAGGCGTTATTAGGCAAAATCTAGCAACACTAAACTGGAGATTATAAAAAAGGGAGCAAGCTGTTCTCACTAGTCAAAATTGGTTTAAATGTTGGTTCTCATTTTCACCCTGGCTGGCCACCCTCTTGACCACGGCAGCAGGCCCTTTACATATACTCCTCCTACTAGTAACTGTTGGACCTTGTATAATCAACAAATTAGTCTCATATGTTCAAAGAAGAAGGCAATCTGTTAAATTGATGATTTTTAAAAAACAAGGTTATGAACTGGTACATAAGGAATAAGATCAAGAGTCAAGGACTTGACTCCTTGTAATAAAATCAGTGGGGAATGTTATAACTTGTAATTTCCCACAGATCACTCCACGCCATGTTCCTGTTCTGTATGTGTCGCCCACCCCCCGCCCTTTTTCTGTTCCTTCTCAGCTGGGTTCATATAGATAAGTTAACCACCAGCCTAGTACCTCCCCACACCCTTTATCATAGAAACATCCTGCACCTAGCCCTCAGACCCACACAGCCCAACACCAGTTTTCTGAGACCATTGTGCTCCCGATGTCCCTTGTAAAACTCCCTTGACTCCCATCCTGTCTTGCGAGCCTCCACCCTGTTTTGTGGTTTTTGCCAATAAAAGCTGTGCTCCCCACTATGTCTGCACGCAGAGGTTGTCAGTCTCAACTGCTCGCTGGCTGCCAGCTAAATAAAGCGCTTCTTTTTCTTCAAAAACATCTTGCCTCATTCTGAGCAACATTTGGGGATCCTGTTTCTGGGCTAGAACAAAATGAATGCACCCTGAGGCCAGACTCTTAAGTGAAACAAATCAGACAGACATATGTGTGCAAATACCGCATTGTTTCTCTGGTGTGGAAAAACCGGAAGAGTAAATAAGAACCAAAATGTATAATAGATTATTATGAAATATTAAAAAAATGTTCAAATGGGCCGGGGAGAGGAAGGAACAAAAAGGAAAAAATGTTGAGAAAGAAGGAAAAATGGAAACAAAGCTTTTATAAATAACGAGAGGGAGAGGTGTTGAAGGAAGGGTAGGAGGATGCAGGGGGGAAAATCAAGCTATGTCATGTACAGACACAAATTCACTATGATGAATGTGACTGTAAACCTAAAATGTACCAATACACTTAATTAAAACAAACAACTCAAATGAAAAGAAAAAGAAAGGGAGGTACACTGTGCGGTTGTGGGGATGAGAGGTGGCAAGCAATCCCCACACCAAAGGGAGTTACTATGCAGCATAAATATGTACTAATAAAATGCTTTAAAAAGCTCAAAAAAAATTCATGAGGTAAGGACTGTTATTATCCCCATTTGGAACAGGGGGAAACAAAGGCATAGAGATAAAGCAACTTGATCAATTTTTCAGAGCTACAAAGTAACAGAACTGGAATCTGAACAGAGAGAGTGGGGTTCTGGGGCATCTCAAGGAGGGCTTCTGCATAGGGATGGTAGCCAGAGAAAGCCCGTGCTGTCTCTTGCTGGAGACCGTGGACCGGGGTGCTCCAGGTCTGGGACAGGAAGCCAGTGGGCAGTCGGGTTGTGGGCAGTACCTGAGCATCCTCAGCTCGATGCATAAGACTAGGCCTCCCTCTTCCACCTTATAGCGGCCTCTTGGACCCTACTCTAACCATCTCTGCTTCTTTGGCCCCCCTCCTGAGAGGCCAGAGCAGGAAGCGACTTGGTGCAGAGGCCACACCTAACCCCCATGCTAATGTCTGCTGCGAACTGATTGGCTGCCTGGGAGGGATGATGGAGAAGTCTCCTTGTGCAGGGACCCAGTAGTGCAGGCTGTCACAGAAACAGAAGGCTCTAGATCTCTTCCACCTCTGCTTCCTTCCTTCATGGACCATGGCATGCTGAACATTCCTGCTAAGAGACTAGCTCACAGCACACCTCATCAGAACATCTGGCCAAGTGCGCACTATCATCCCCACCACGTATACCTTTTGGGTTTTGCTTTTTTAATCCTCTCTTCTGGGATAATTTTGGGGATGTGTCCTCATTTTTCTGGGGGCTGGAGAATGAATTCAAGGAGAAATCTTGAATTCCTGATCATATCTAGCTTGCCAGAGGGAGAGACAAGAATGGTTCTCTTAGAGAATTTCTTACCAGCGGGTGTGGGTCATTGCTTGATGCTCTGGCCAACTGAGTGTGTTTAGGGCCCTGAAGGCAGATGCTTATGCCACTGACACAAGTGACCCAGAATCAGGATCACCCTCTCGTGGTCATTATCTAGAGACCAGATTTCCATAAAGCGAAGACACGCTGTCTGTAGCTGTGAGCAGGACTGAGTTTTGGGGTCAGGAGAAGTGGAAGGAGACAGAGTCAGACGACAGAGCTGCCTTTGGGGTCTGGCGGGCCTGGGTACCAATCTTGGGTTTTACCATCTGGGGCAACCTGGGGTCACTCAACTTCCTAGGCCTGCGTCTCCATCTGTAAAATAAGATTCCAGAGCCGTTGCCAGTGCCCAGCACACAGAAGTCACCCAGGAAGTGGCTGCCCATTTCCTCCTTGCCACGCACACATAGCACCAACCATGGGTCAAGCTCATCTGGGAGAGAGAAGAGGGGAAGTTGGACCAAAGCTAGAGTGACATCCTTCAGTTAGAGGGATAGGACTCTGCCATGTAAGGCTCTGAACTTCCTAGCAGTGGTGGCCGAAGCCTTGGCACCTGCTGGGGACTTTGACATTCTCATATCTCCACTGACCTACATGGTCTCTGTCTTTGTGATTCTTCCCTAACCTCAGAGAGAATCCCTATCACTCCACAGAATAAAACATAATCTCTTAGTTGTATATGGGACTTCAGAGTTTGCAATAAATGTTATTGTCTGTGGCCTCCTGAAGCCCTCCCCTGACCCCGAGAGGCTGGTAATTCTAGAAGCCCATTTTACAGATGGGGAAGCCAAAGCTCAGAGCTGGGTTAGTAAAACCACATAGACAGGACCCCATCAGAGTTCTGTATCCCTCTGAGGTCAAGAGAGACCCTGGTGTCTGCCCTTTAAAACATGTGCCCAAGGTGCTCATTTTGCATTCAGGATATGGTCAGAGAACTTGGGCCTTGTAGACGTGGGGAAGGCGTTACGGTGCCTGGGGGTTCCTTCCTGTGCCAGGACTGAGTGGGGTCTAGTGACCCACGGCTCCAGCAATCAGGGTTAGGGGGACTCCGCTGGACAAACAGCTTCTTGCACTTGTGACTTTTAGCCCACTTTACAGTTACTGAACCTGAGGTCCAGGGAGGTTCAGATCATTCCAGGGAAGTGACAGGGCTTGATCTAACTAGGCCTGCTAGAGGTCTTGACCAACAGCATCACAAGTGCCTGGAGGAGTTTCCTTCCTCTCTTCAGAGCTTGCCATATGCAAAGTTCTACATTCATTATTTCATTGGAGCCCCATGAACACCTACTGAGCAGCTCAGGCAGGAACAGGATCTGGAGCTCAGAGGGGCTAACCAGGAGGCTCAACTCACACTCGTACTCCAAACTAAGGAGCCCTAACACAATCTTCTAAGTCCCAGTCAAGTGCTCCAGCTATCTCCATCTCTATGTGACCCTGTGATAGTGTCCCTGTCACGTCATCATGAAGGGCAGGAACCAAGGAGCCAGGGCTGGGGGGAAAAGGGCCAAGAGTGGCCTGGGGCCAGAGGGAAAACAGGGATGCATTTTGTGTGCTTGGACCAGAGGAGGGAGTTAAACCCAGATGAAGCTGATAATGGGCTGTGGGAAGCTAGGATGAGCCCGAATGGGCAGTGTCCCAAAAGGTCCTGGCAGCCCTGCATTAGAGAAGTTTCGGCCCTGGCCTTTGTAAGGGAAGCACTCGGCTGTCAGAGCTGCAGGAGGCAGGAGAACGGTGGTGGGGCCCTAGGACCAGGACAAGAGGAGAGTCCCAGGAATCTAAGATCTGAGCAAGAACTGTGAGGATGTCAGCTGGAAGGGCATCCCCACGACCAGAGGGGTGTGTTAGCCACAGTGAGGCCATCCACTCCACCCCCTGACTCTGAACCTCAACCCAAACATGGAAGGAGGCTGGGAAGCATCCTCATCTTCGGGGACCATCAGAATGGGACATCCCACAGCCACCCCTCTTTAGGCATTCCATGGCTTGCCACCCCACCCTGTTGGAAGTTCTTCCTGATGTCTGACCTGCTACTGTACTAACTCATTTCCTTCTGATTCCCGGAGACCTGAGATTCCTCCTCCCACTTAGAGGCTTACTCCCATCCTGAGAGCAGATGCTGTGACAGTAGAGAAGGGTGGAGACTTCTCGTCCCCAAATACAAGGGACAGAGCCAGGACCGGAAGCCTGGCCTTTGCCAGTAGCACAAGACTCAGGCATGGGACTCAGATGACCAATTCCTTGCCGTGCATTGACCTCTCTCTCTGCAACCTTCAGACAGGTCAGGGGTCCCTCAGCCCAGGCAGGGGTGGGTGGCGGGGCAGGACAGATGCACCTGGCTGGCTCTCGGCTATTTCCTTGCCAGTTCATCTTTCCTGACCCACCTCCTCCTTCCCACCCACTCCAAAGAGGCCTCTGGGGCTATCTTTTGTGGTTCCCCATTACCTTCCCTGTGCCATGAAGCAGGTCCTCACCACAGGCTGCCATCGCTGCCACCTGGCTGTGCCTCGGCAGCACCTGGGGGATCCTTTGCAAAGAATGCCTGGAGCCTCCGCAATCTGTGGGTGGGGGCAGCATAGGAGGCTGCTGCACAGGGATCTCCAGAAAGGCAGTGAAGGATGGATCAGGAAGAGAGCTGGGAGGAGCAGGCCCTGGCTCCGAGGCTCTTGTTCCAAGCATTTCCTAGACACCTGGAAGTAGCCAGGTGCAGGAAATAACCCATAGCCAGCCAGGTGCAGCTGTTCTGCCCCGTCTACCCGCCCCTGCCTGAGCTGAGGGGCCTCTGTCCTGCTATAAGGTTGCAGTGCAACATGTACATGTGTTTTGCCCAGAGTTGCTCAGGTTGCTCTGATTGCATAACAGGGGCTAAAACATGCCACGGCCCCTTGCTCCCAGTCCAGTGCTCTCCAAACTTCACAGGTGGAGTCTGCAGTCCCAGGTCAGAGGGACATTTTTATGGTTCCCTGCAAGAACTCTGCCCCTTGGACCCTTGCCTGATGGGTCTGAGAGTTAGTTATAGAGCCCCGAGGGCATCCTGCCTTTGGCCTCCCCTGGGTCTCCTGCAGGCCCAGCCTGAGGTGTCATGGAGAAGAGGGGTCCCTGTCTGTGCTGAGCGATGTTGCAACCAGGTCACGAGTGGCTGTTGCCTGGACTCTGGGACAGGTGCACTGTTGCTGCTCAGAGCTCCAGGAAGATAGCAAAAAGAATGTGCATGCTGTAAGAAGCAGCAGTGACAACATAGTGACTGGGGCAGGTGCAGTTTCAGATCCCAGCCAAGCTACGTCTCACCTGAATCACCACCGGTGGGGCAGGCTGAGCCTGCGATAGGCTACCACAGCTGGAAGCACTTAGAAAGCCCTGCCATCCAAGCCTTTATTTTAGCAATAAGCTAATGAGTCCCAGAGAGAACCTGTGACTAGCCCAAGGTCACAAAGGCCAGTAGGGGACATAGGCAGGACTAGAAACCTGGGCCTCTGGCATCATTCTCAGCCTCTGTGCTCTCCTGGTGTCTACCTTTCCCACCCTCCAGTGAGGAAGGACCCTTTCCCAGACAGAGACCTCTGAGACCTCCCTCTTCCAGTTATCTGGAGTATTAAGGGCTTTTGAATAGATGGGCACACGCAGGCCCAGGGGCTAGAGCCCGGGGCTTCAGAGGTGGGAAGAGGTGCTCCCCGGCACCCACCAGGGACAACAGCGGTTCCAAGAAAGACTGGCGTTCAGGACCTAAAATGTTTCCTGAACTGGGCTCAATTCTGTATGGACTAAACTGGTTGGGGCTAGAGTGGAATACGCCTTCTTTCTCCTCTTTGCTGTCTGACCCAGACCTCACTGGGGACAGGGGATCTTGTCTACTCTCGGTTTTGAACCTGGAGAAATCCCACAAGCAGGCGCTCTCAGAAGCAGGCACACTCACAACCACCACCACTTCCTTACACTCTGAGGGTCCCTGTGTACACCATGGACCCTCACTGACCTGTGAGTGAGTCTAAGGAGCTAGGAGGCCTCCAGGGCCCCAAGTATCATAGGGACAGGGATCTTGCCTCTGCTGCTGGCTGGCTAATTTGGCAACAGTCACATCTCAGCTCCTTCACGTATAAATGAAAGGGCTGGACAGCTTTCCAGTGGGGCTGCACGGAACTCCGGCACTGTGGAGATCAGCCGTGAGAGCTGTGGCAGAGATGAGTCCTCCCCCCAGCTCAGAGAGACAAAATCTGCTTTTCAATTTCACACAGGGGCCTCTACACACGACTTCATTTGAACAAAGGAAGCAACTACTATAAAGACCTTGCAAATGAGCTCCCGACACAAGCATTAACATTCGTTCTGATTTCGGATGCCTTCTGTATACATGAATGAGCCCAGGAGATCCCTATTAGATTGGCCTCAAAGCACCTCCAGTTCATTTATCTCTTCATTCATTTCTTTTTTTTTTTTTTTTTTTTTCTTGTCTTTTTCCTTTTTATCGGTACTGGGGATCGAACTCATGACTGCCTGCTTGCAAGGCAGGCACTTATGCCGCTGAGCTAAATCCCCAGCTCCTCTTCATTCATTTCTTAAGTGCCTGCTATTGCCAAGCAAATGATATTTCCTGCCTCGTCTTTCACTGTGTTTATCTTCCCTCCCTGTCATACTGGGGTGGTGACACAGCCCTGGGCTGGCTGGTGCATTGCAGGGACTCCCCTGGGCTGTCTTGGTTGCTGCTTCCCTTGCGAGGAAATAGCCTCCACCTGGGGCTACTCAGGCCTCCCGTCCAGCTGCCAAGCCGGGTTCTTTGTGGTGTCTTCCCTCGTGCTGCCTCCACCGCTGCCCAACTCACCTGTCCAGGGACAGTCCGCCCCCACCGTTGCTATATCAAGAGGAAGCCGTTTTGGCAAAACAAGACACTTGAACTGAGAGGCCATTGTTAATCAGTCAAACTTCCCACCCAGAGCCAGCCTGGAGCCCGTACACACCCTCCCACACGTTTATGCTTGCCTTTCTCAAGCCATAGAGGACAATGCAGAGAAAAACGTGGCAGCAGGTGCCAGGTGGAAGTCTGCTTAGCACCCACAAATACACAAAGCAAAAATCTCAGGTGGGGACTGCGTGCCTCCAGGGGCAAAGAACAAGGCCTTGGAAGGGCTGAACACTGGGGCTGGGGATGTGAACCTACTGATCTGCCATTCTGGGAACTTGCCTAGCCCAGTCTGGGGAAGATGTGTCATCCTGCATATCCCTGGGCTCCACTAATCCAGCGTATCTGTAGTTTTGAGCTGATTTAGAATCAGATTCATTTTAGAAATTCTCAGTATAGGAAAACCTTTTACACAAAGGATTGTGGTTTTATCAATGAGCCTATTCAATGTGTCATTAATAAGTATTTCTCAAAGCATTAAAAATATGACCATTTTGAAAAGCACAAAATATGCAGTATTTGGCAAGGACAGATGCACACTTGCTATCACATTCCGTCTAATTCCAGTGACTGCCATAGAATCAATCAGAAAAGGATCTCAGAGGGCAATTCGTCTAACTTCTCTTTTGGTAGATGAGGAAACTGAAGCATGAAGAGGAGAAAGTATATGTCCAAATCTAAGACCTAGTACTACACCCTGGATGGTAATAATAATGCTAGTAGTGATGATGATGATGATGATGATGCTAAATCTTAACATGAGGCTGGCTACAGCTGCATCTCTAGCTAAGCTGCTTGCTATTCTAGAAGTACTTTATCACATGGAAGACTATTCTGTGTTTCCTTGCGGTAAGTACCGTTATTATTCCAGGTATAGATGAAGAAACTAGGTATCCAGAGATCAAGTGATTGCCCCAGACTTGCTCAGCTCTCTGCGCCCTGCAGTACACAGCTATTTTTCTATTTGTTTCTGTCTGAGACAGAGTCTTGCTAGGTACCCAAGTTAGCCTCGAGCTCATGAGTTCACCTCCTGCGTAACTGGAATTCCTCTTGTAAGATCCTTCTGAAGACCCAAGGGCTCCCATTGGGAGCATTCCCAGGCCTACGTCTATGGACAAGTCTTCCCTGTTATTTTTGGATCTGAAAGACAGAGCACACAGTGTTCCTCTCTGCAGTGAAGTCCTCAGGGAGAAGGCACAACCTCACATGACCAGTTTCTCCCAGTCATTCCAATGTGATCAATCTTAAGACTTCTGCACACAAGGGTAAGAGGCCCAACTATAGCTCTCCCTGCCTCCACTCTGGGTTCATTTCATCTTAAATAAAGAGGCAGATTTAAAAACCTGAAAGGAGTGGGATGGTTTGTTTCTTTCACTCCTACTTAAGTTCAGAAAATTTCTCTTCCAGAATGATGCTGGGACTTATTGTGTCTTCCCTCAAAAAACGCCTTAGTCACCATTGACTGCCCCTCTGGCAACCTTTCCCTGGTTGCTGGTCCCTTACTCTGGAGAGGTGAGTTGCCTAGGCAGACAGCACTCCTAGCATCCTGGCCCTGCCCCTGCCCCTATCATCACCTCCAGCATGCACACGGCTACCTGTTTGGTTTAGGAACCATCAAGTTTAGGCTTCCAACAAGCTAGGAAGTAGGACACAGCATGGTTATGACCATAGATTCATCCTCCAAAGCTCCAGATAAAACTCCATTCTGTGCTGTGTGCTACCGTTTCTGCTCACCAGACTCCAGTGAGCTCCAGGAGGCCAGTGACCCTGGCGAGATGCAGATGAGCCAAGAAAATCACAGAAAAGGGCAAGTGAGGTAGCCAGGGTCTTGGGGGAGAAAGCCAAGGAACAGCTAACGAATAGAGGGGAAATGACAGTGAAGATTACAGAAACACATCTGGGACTCAGAACGGACCACAAACCAACTGCTGGCTAGGATGTAGGGATCAGCTGCGCTTTGTCAAGTCCAGGGTTGGCCCGTTCTTCCCAGAGTGCCATTGCTTCCACATCAGTAAATATAAACACTGTGAAGACGAGCAGAAGGCCTTCTTCACGTGTGTGCTACTGATTTGTCCACAGAGCTATTTTCTAGCTGCTCTCCACCACCCCCAAGAGCAGAAGAATCTTGGTTGTAGCTGAAGGAAGTGTGGTTACACATAAGGAAGCCCTGCCCAGGCACGAGCAGTATTAAACCAGTAATCAGTGGTCAGGAGTGGTTGAAAAATCCCCATGGAAATCTTAAATGCACATAGAAAGCCACATTTTCCGGGAAGGTTGAGGAACTTAGCTAATAGGTTACACGAGGTAACCTTGAAGATTAGTAAAAAATGTTCTTGATTTTCAAACCAGGAAAAATTAGGTTTGATTAGATTCTCAGTCATCTAACAGCAGAGTCATCTACCTAACAGCATCGATGTCCTGGGCAGAAGGCTTGGAAGCCACCCAGCAGGATTCAGGATTCAGCCACACAGCCCTGAGGTCCATAAGCAGACCCCAGCCTCATCAGCTTAGATCCCCAGAAGGAGCTCCTGGGATCACGATAAAAAGAAAGTCAAAATCTCCCAAGCCCAAGTAGCTTCCAACCGGAAATGGCATGCTCAGTTTCCCACAAAACCCCAGTCACACGGGTGGCAGCACCCTAATTGCCTCCCAGCCCTGTCCCTGCTCCCCAGGGCTGGGAGGAGCCCCGAGAACCACAGATGAACTTACCCGGCAGCTGTCCCTCTCCATGGCCTCGGAGGGATAGGTCTTCCAGTCTAGCTGATGTCGAGGGGAAGAGCCATGTTGGCCTGTGGCTCTCCAGGCATGTGGGGAAAAGGAGGTTGAGGCCAGGGCCGGCCCCTACCCAATGGGGGCGGGGAGACCGGGTTGGGATGTGAGGTAATCCTGAGTATAAACAACGTGGAACTGGCCAGACCTGTCCGTCTGCCCTGTCC